AAAGAAAAGAAAAGAAAAGAAAAGAAAAGAAAAGAAAAGAAATGAAGTATGGAACTGTGGTTTCAGAAATAAATTAATAAATATCTCTAGAAAGATGATAATTTTATGTGCATCTTCAAAGAGATCTGGCTACATTAGCAGCACTATTTCCCAACACCCATCATCTTCTAAATTGATTTAGTTGATGCTCTTCGGATCTACTTTCTAAGGACTTAAATTTTTATCTCTGCTGAAGCTTTTGAAATGCTCTCCATGATTGTGAATCTGTCTAATGTAGTTTTCACACTTGGTGCCATTTTTTTTCAAATGACAACACAAAGCAGAAAGAACCATGTGGTATTGTTTCATACCAACCTGGCACTTTGATTCAAAATATGGACGAACTGTAAGAAAAAGAGGGAGAGGAAGAGCTGAGGGTCTCTGAATAAGAAAACCTTGTGTTATAGTCAAACAGAGGGATTATGAGGGGGTAAGCTGTTAAACAAGATAGAGTGATAGAAAGGGGGAACACGGGCAGAGATGAGCCTCCGAGCCGTAGTGAGAAGAGGGGCCCAGAGCTGATCTGTTTCCTTTTATTAATACTTTTCCAGAAACCTTGCCTCCACCATGGCCCTAAGTCCTAATAGATAGCTTAATTTTCTTAGAGGAATTCAAATAACAATCATAAATAATGTCATACAGACTTCTAATGTTTTAATAAAAACCTTCAGCAATGCCCACATTTTTGACAGTTTTTTAAAGGGCTCTGAGGGAGCCAACTATGTCAGCAAACAGACCTGCTCAGAAGACAGGGTGGCCCATGGCATTCAAAGTGTATTCATTTCTACCAATAGTGCTTTTCTTGCGTAGATTCTGACTTGCGTAGATTTGGACTTCATGCTAAAATAAAAAGAGAGGAATCTGTGTATACATGAGAATGTGTGCGTAACGTGTCGATGGTATAAATGGTCTCTTCCTTCCTCTCTGGATTGCACGCACTTAAGCCCCTAAGAAAAGATCTCTTACCTCTTATCCAAGTAAAGCAGGATTTTGAGCTCTGAAGCTAAATGATACAATGAGATCAGTGTAAATATTCTTTAACACAACAATATTTAAGTTGCTTTAAAGCAGCCGTCCTCATTTTGTTACATACAGAAGGTACGTGCTTCCTCCTCTGAGGCAAGAAGCGGAGTCCGTCGTCAGCAGTTAGCAGAGTCCAGAGCGAGTGCACGTTTCTTAACTGGATAACTTAGTTGCCCCCGCCCCACGTCGCCTCCAGCAGAAGACGCTCAGCGGGCGACTTGGCCCGGCGCCTGGGATCGTGGCTATGCCTTCCCCAACTCTCACTCTCGCTGTCCTTGTGCAGTGGAACGTCCCCAAGTCTGTGAATGCACCTCCCGGCGTGTCCACCCCGGCCGCGTCTCTCCTGAAGGCAGATCTTGGAGGTGCAGCCAGGACTCCTAGAGGAGCCTCCTCCAGTCACCATCGCGGGTGGGGCGAGCCCGGTCTCCGGCTAAGCTTCCCAGCCGCTTCGCTCCGGACCTGCCTGGAGCCTACAAAAAAACAAGGGCTCCTCCTTGCACTCTCGCACCCCATGGATCACCCCTAGAAGGTGCTTTCCCCAACCCTCCTGGTGCCAAGGAGAGCAAACCTCCCCGGGGATTTTCCCAAAGTGGTGGGAGGAGGGTTAATATTTGCTTTGTTATTGGGATAAGGGGAGGCAAGTATGCCTTGAGAGAGAGAGAGAGAGTGTGTGTGTGTGTGTATGAGAGAGAGAGAGAGAGAGAGAGAGAGAGAAAGAGAAAGAGAGAGAGAGAGAGAGGTGTTTTGCAGCGGGAAACAAGCAGGAAGAGGTACAGAGGCCGGCGCCCCAGCTCCCTTCGGGGCCTCCGAGAGCGGCACACACCGTAATTCCCTTCCCAGAGCCTACAGATTCCCACAAACAATGACATCACTCCGCCGCCGCTGGCCTGATTACAGCTGGGGGGATTTTCCTGGGCGCGCGGCGGGCCAGGCTGAGATGGGGGAGCTCTCCAGTGCTGAAAGGGGCGGGGGCGCGGGCTCGCGGCGCTGCGCCCCCAGAAGGCGGAGGCGGCCGGGCCGGGCCGGGCCGGGCCTGGGGAGGGCGGGGGCGGGCCCGGGGCGGCCCAGGGCGGGGCCCGCCGCTTCCCCCGCCCTCATTGGCCGCTGGCGGACTCACGTCACCCGAGCTGGTGCTCTCCTCCAGCCCCTGGGGAATTGGAGCTGAGGAGGAGCTGAAAATGCAGATTTAGCATCAAGCACAGACCTACACTCGCTCTTTCTCTCCGGTACACACAGCTCCCCACATTCGCACCCCTGCCCGCGCGCCGGGCCGCCTGACTGCACGGCTTCCCCTCTAGCCAGATGCTGGAGAACACACACTGATTCGCTGCTTTCCAAGACCCTATTCAGTCTCTTTCTCTACAAAGATTTTTTTAAAACTATATATATATATATTTTTTTTTTTTGCACCCTTCCTCCGAGTCCCCTGCTCCGCCAGCCTGCGCGCCTCCTAGCACCACTTTTCACTCCCAAAGAAGGATGAAGGGTGGTTGTGTCTCCCAGTGGAAGGCGGCCGCCGGGTTCCTCTTCTGTGTCATGGTTTTTGCATCTGCTGAGCGACCGGTCTTCACGAATCATTTTCTTGTGGAGTTGCATAAAGGGGGAGAGGACGAAGCTCGCCAAGTTGCAGCAGAACACGGCTTTGGAGTCCGAAAGGTAAGCTCTCCCATGCATTTCGCATGTTGTTTCAAAACGGGGGGCAGCCCTGCGCAATCTCATTGCAGATTTGCAAGTTTTCTCTCTTTCTCATGCGATGCAGATATTCTGCCATGGGCTCTTTAACACGATATTGCCTCCGGTGATCTTTCACCGGTTATGTAATTAAAATGTCCTTCATCTGTACTAGTAAGGTCATCAAAATAATTTATTGCTCTATGACTTGATGGCGAAAATAGGATAACACCTTTCAAAGGATACCATGCTCCCGGGATGCTGTCCGAGGTACCAAGTTCTCGAGGTTGTCTGGGGATGGAGGGATGAAGCCCTGAATAGCTGATCCCGGCGTTGGCTGCTTGGCCAGGGACGTCTCCCCCACCCCCATCCCCTGGAGAAAGAATAGTTTCCTACAGACGGGTCTGGAAGCTTGGATATTGCAATTCACCTAGGTGCTTCTCCCACCCCGCGCCGGAGGACTTCCCTCCCAGTGACTTCGGTCCCTGCACCTCTCCGAGAACAACGGCTTCCTGACTCTCGGAGATTTGGAAACATAAACTGGTCTCCAAAATCGGGGGGGGGGACTTCTGCGCCCTCACCTCCACCCACGACCGCCCAACCCTGGAGCGCACTTCTGGTTGGCTCCCTAGTTCTCAACTCCTGGTTACAGGAGCTGGAGAGGTGGATTTTGAGGGGGATTCCCTACTGAGAAGTCGAGATGGCCTCTCCTGATGCGTGGGCGGCCAGCCTGGCTTTCCCACTAGAGCGTGGGGATCCCCATTCCAAGAAGTTGTCAGAGTTTGACAGTTTGGGCATATAGGTGAGCCTCTCAGCTTTGGACACCTTGGGTCTCCTTTGGAGACTCGAGGGTACCCATCCTGGGAGGACAGAGGAGAGAAGCGCGCTGGATGGGGGCTGTGGCTGACCTGCGTGTGTCTCCTGCAAAAGATGTATCAGGGATCTCCAGTGTCCTTAGTGGACCTGGCGCAGGCTGGGGTGGAGTGTGGGTGCAGAGAGAAGCTGGGGCTAGGGGAACCCAGAGGACAGAGATGTGGCTATCAGAGGGCTGGGTGGAGGTCAGTGAGATTTCAGGCTCCATCTCGCTCCTGATCCCAGGAAGAGCGGGGCGTGAGATGAGCGGTGGGTGCTTTTGGTTATTAGTTTTGCCTTGAAGGACCGCGCAGAACGAAGCTCTTATTAGTCTCTTCTGTCTTGACTTCCCAAGCCTCCCGCCTCTCTCCCAGCCACCGCCAGAGCTCCTTCAGGTGTGGGGGGCTCTCCCTCCTCCTAAGGGCGTAGGCAGCACCGGGATTTCTACCCCAAGTGGGTCTGGCGACGAGTTTGACAGAGGTCTGGGAAGAGTCTCCGGGTCCGCCGGTGGCGCGCGGGCGGGTCTTGCGGAAAGGAACTTGTTGCTCCGGGAAGCGTGGGTGGAGCAGGGGAAAGAAGGCGCCGGCGGAGGGAGCACCCCGCTGTGGTTTTGGCCCAGGGCCTGCCGGCTGTTTTGAGAGACACCAACACAATAAAGAAGCCGACCTTCCTTCTTCACACCCCCCTCCCCTACCCCAAACTTGGCAAGACCCAGGACCCAAAGGCCATTATAAAATATAATAGTGATTATTATTAGTTATACGGAACCTTATGTGCCGGAGTCCTTACATACATTTTTACTTAATCTCAACATCTCTTGAGGAGGCTACTATTATTATTGAGCCTGTGGCCCCGTTGAGGAAACTGGTTCAGACAGGGGTGTGAGATAAAAACAGGCAAGGGCTTCAATCCAGATCTTTCAGAAGTGAACCCATGCTCTTTACTCCTTCGTACCCACCCAAGCAAGCTAGGTGATTTCAGGGGATGTGGGGCATTCAGATAAGGTGAAAAGGGGTTTTAATTCTTGAGTGTGATCTTGCTACAGAAACCTGTGGCTCCCTCCCTCTCCCCTACACCTTTTCATGGGTGCAGGGGAGTGGGAGGGAGCCACAGGTTTCTGAAAACCATTGCTGTCAGTGGCTTTCTCTTCTCTTTGCTGCCCCTTTGAAAATGTGCCCTTAGGATGAGAGATCAGATAACTAGGCCTCTTGGTCCTTCATTCTTTCTTGGAGAGGAGCCCACTGATTTTGCATCACAACCTGAAACCTGCAGTTCCCATCTGAGAGACTGACCTCTCTCCTTACCTCTCCATAACTTCTCAGGTAGCACCCCTCAACAAAATCCAGTGATTTTTTTTTTCTCTGTTACACATTTAAGTAACAGGGACTGCATGGTGCAACATATGCCTAGAATAAACCTCCTTTTGGATCCATGTGTTGCCCATTCTTCAAGACCCAAATTCAAATCTTTCCTGATGCTACAGACCACAGAGAGCTTTCCCTCCTCCAAATTTTTATGTGACTGATAGGTGAAAACTGCACAACATAAGCTAATAACTGCCATCACTTGCTTCATTATTTCATGATGTAAGTAAATATGGGTGTAGGTGTTGTATTTCTACTGAAAAGGTAACTATTCAGGGGTAATACCTCCTATATTTCTCATTTCCTCCCTGTAACCAGCACATTACTGTGTTGCCAGCCTTGAAGGAAACTTCCTTGGCTGTATTTATTACTCCAGGTTTCACAGACAATTTCCTATCTTGCTTTCATCATACTGTTATGTACTTTTGCCGACATTTGTTATTGTGCATCTTAGAGGCCCATATGTCCTTCTCCTTCCTTGCTCTGACACTTAGCATGCCTCCCAACTCCCTACTGCTCCCTACTCTGAGGCTCAGTGTCAGACACAAAAGATTCTCAGTGATTATTCATTCATCCATATGAAGGGTCAGCAATGGAGACTAGAAGAACCTGCTTTTTTATTAAATTATCTCATTCTAACCTCACAAATCTATGAAAGAAACTACTGGCATCAGCTGTAATTCTCAGATGAAAACCTTAAGGCTTTGAGAAGTTAAGTCCCTGCTTATATCTGAGAAGTAAAAGAACTCAGAATTAAAACCAAATTTGCTTGACTGAAAAATAATTGCTTTTCTATATCATGCTCCCTCCAGGAAGCCTTCCCTGACTGCCAAGAACTCTTCCCTTGAGACACAATTTTAGAGTTCTGATATTTTTCCTTTTCTTTTTACTTTTTTAATATTTATCGTTCATTTGCTATTAACACATGAACATATGTCATTAACTAATGGGTACGTGTATTTACATCTTCAGGTAGACTATAAATATTCCAACAGGAGAAATGATGTGCTATATCTTTATATAGTCTCCATATCTAGCATGGTGGCCTGTGTATGAATATTTAATTATTTGTCAGTTATTTGATTGATTCTTATAAGACCATGAACAAACATTTATGTTTCCTCTCTAAAATGAAATAACACCTATAACTTTACCTCTGAAAGGGTTATGGGGATTAAAGCTTTCTATTTTATCGTGACCTGGCCCTGGCCCAAAGACCTATGTCCATCAGAGAAGACACTTATGTCTAGGAGAGTGAAAGAGCTTACAGTAATGACAAAGGCATTATTCCAAAGGCTGCCTTAAAATTCTCAATATGCTACTAATTTTAATTCATTTGCAACAGAAATTATTCATTGAAGCAATCTGTTGAAGATTAACCAAAAATCAAGTTAGAGTTAGGGTTTAAAAAGAACCTGATATTATCCTAGGGGTTTCATTGTCTTATGGTGTGTTTTATGTTTTATCCACAGCGGACAGATGCTGAAATGATTACACAAGTAAAATCATGTGACCATTTTTATAACGTGCGAGAATCTTTTTAATTTTAAAACAACCTAATAATCATTATGCTGCCAGGTAGTAAAAAAATTAATAAGTTTCTGGTCACTTCACTTTTATTGAAGTTTAATTTAGGAAAGAACACAGCTTAGGGAATTTTCACAAACTGAGCACACATGTGTAACCAGCACCCAAATCAAGAAACAAAATATTACCAGTATACCTAAGTTCCTTTCTCACTCATTTGCTTTGTTTTCCAGTTTTAGCTATTATAAATATGGCTTTTGTGGATATTAAAGTCCATGTATTTTGGCAAACACATATATGCCCTTCTACTGGGAATTCCTAGAAATGGAATTTTTGAGTAAAAGGATATGCATACACACAGCTTTACAAGACCATCACTTTCCTATGGCTGTGTATCACTAAAAAACTTAGTGGCCTAAAACCACACAAGTTTGTTATTTCACAGTTTTCATGGGTAAGGAGTCTGGCACATTTTAGTTGGGTCCTCTGCTCAAGTCTTCATGGGCTGAAATCAAGGTATAGCCTGCTGTGTCCCATCTAGAGGCATGACCAAGAAACAACTGTCTTCTGAGCATATTCACACTTTTAGAGGAATTGAGTTTCCTGTGGTTTTAGACCTGAAGTCTTTATTTTCTTGCTGGCTGCTGGGCCAGGACCACTCTCAGCCCCAGGAGACCTCTCCATAGCCCTCTCACACCACGCCCTTCAAATATCTGCCTTCAGGAAGAGCCCACTCTCCTTGCAAGGTTAGCCTGATTCATTCAAGCCCACTAGGATTATTTTCCTTTTGATTCTTCTTATGAACTCAGAGTCAATTGATTTAGGACTTTAATAACATTTAATAAATCTCTTCACCTTTGTGTAATCTAATCACAGAAGTGAAATCTATCATCTTCACAGTCCCACCTATGCTGTACACACTCAAAAGGAAGATGATTACATAGGGCATGTACAACAGGGAGCAGAAATCTTGGGGGCCATCTCAGAATTCCACCAGCTACACACAAGCAGCCACATGGTTTTCCTAAGTAGTTGTACCAATTTACATTCCCACCAGCAGTATGTGAGAGTTCCAGCTGCTCCACATTCTCACCAACACTTGATATTTTACATCTGTTTTCTTTTAGCCATTCTGGTAGTGTCTCATTGTGACTTTAATTTGAATTTCCCTGATTATCAACTAAAGTTAAACACCTCTTCATGTGCTTATTGATGATTTGGATATCCTCTTTTAAACATATT